GTATCTGTAAACAAGCGTCATTGAACCGCTTGATGTAACTCCGAATGGACTCCCCTTCCCTCTGGACTATGCCAAGGAGGATCTCTTGGGTTCTCGGGTAACGCTTGCTGGTGACGAAATAAGAGGTGAAAACCTGCACGAACTGTGCCCAGCTCTTTATTGACCTGGGTGCGAGGTTTCTATACCAAGTGTGGGCCACTCCTTTGAAGGTTGTTGAGAAGGCCACACACATGTAGGATTCGCTCGCTCTTTCCAGGTGCATCTGCGACTGGAAGGCGTCGACGTGGTCATTTGGATCGAACGACCCATCGTACTTGTCCAAGGGAGGGACCTTGAAGTCCTTAGGCATAGGGATGGCAAGAAGTTCTGGAGATAGGGGGGAGGGAACTGAGAGGAGTGGAGTGGCTTCTACCTCATCCGAACTCACCTCTTCCTTACCCTTGAGCTCGGGCAGGTTATAAGTGGCAGTTTGGTGAGCTCGGCAGCGTCTCCGATGCTTCTTCACTGGCTCAACGTTAGTACTGCTTGCTTTTGTGTTGCCGAGCTTGACGGGCCCAGGGTGGGGCTCAGATTGTTGCTGGTGGTTGTGAGCTGAAGGGCCTTGTCTATAGTTTGCGGCCAGGACCTCGAACTGGTTCTCGGCGAGCGGAAGCTCAAACTGTGAAGGTCGAGGCGACGCGGATCTAACTGGCTGAGAGGCTCCAGACCTGACTACAGGCTGCGAGGTGGGGGGAGTAACTTGTCTTTCCCTCCTGCCGTGGGATGAGACCTGGCTTCCGAGAGGGTTCTGAGTTCGGGAGGTCTCTCGGCGGGGGGGACGCTCGCTGCAACAGCGGGGCTGAGCTTGCTGTGTAGCAGGGTGTCGAGGTGGAACTTGTTGCTGATACTACGGCAGCGGTGGAAACTGCTGCTGATACTGCTGTTGGTAGATGTGGTGAAGCATTTGCTGCTGGTATAGCTGGAACTGGTGGACCTGCTGCATTTGAGCTTGCATAGCTCGCACGTAGTGTACCAAGTTTTCTAGCTGGTTTTGTCCAGCCACCGGGAGAACTGATGGTTCTGCAAAGGTCGCCTCTACCAGCGAAGGAAGCAGAGCATTTACTGGCGCCATGACCTAAGGTGCACTCAAGGTAGGAACTCCGTTCACGGAGAGGGGTACAGTGAACTAGCCAATGCAGATGGTAGGGAGTTGAGGTCGTTCCCCAGAGGTGTTTTGGTCGGCACTTCATTCGGCATTGCTGGAGGAAGCCATTGAAGTCTTACTGAAAGTTGCGGTGTTTGGTATAGGAAGGTCTTTTGAAGCGATTCCCATAGACGGCGCAAAATGATGTAGCGTGATCTGGTCACTCCTAACTGGCAGGGGCCTCGCTCCTAACTGGAAACGGGCAACACCTGAGAAGGAGAAGATGAAGGATTCCCGGGGAGCTCGCCCGAGGGGAACACTCCAATGCTTAAGTTAGAACTCGGTGGAAAGTTTAGAGAGTAGTAAAGGAAAATGAGCTAAGAGTGGAGATGCGCTCTTTTCGATTACAAAAATTCAATTACCCCTTTCCTTGGGGGTCGGAGCCCTTATATATTAACACTCTATCAAATCGGGTGTAACCGCCTCTGATTCTCTGCTACAGCCGTTATTCGTCAGGCTGATTCAATTGGTGCAGGTATCCGTCGCAGAGTACGGTCCTGTCAGTTGAGAGACGTTATGCAAAGCTGGCATGCACGATGCCGCCTGACGTTGAGACGTGGGCGCAGTTCTCTAGACTGGCAGGTGCTGCGCCGCCAGACAAAGCAGTATGATAAGCACGGTGTTGTCGGATAAGAAGTTTCCCGAAGACTCTGGGTTACTTAATAGCGAGCTCCTTTGTAGCGAGCTCCCTTATAGCGAACTCCTTCGTAGCGAGCTCCAATAGCGAGCTACCTTGCAGCAAGCCGTTCTATAGCGAGCTGTCTTGTGGCGAGCTGTTCTGCTGGGGTTTTAGCGAGCTCATTACGCTAAGTTGTGGCCAAGCTGTCATGTTGAACTGTCACTTATGTCGAGTCATATCCACATATCATTTTATTAAGAGGTCGGGTCAAATCACCCTCCATCAGGTATCAACTAGAAGGTATTGCTATTAGCCCCGGTAACATTTTCAAACAAAAAAAAGACACCATTTTTGTAGAAAAGGTTATTCTAACCTACAGAAAACGGGGTGCTGTACCACTGCTCGTGATTCTCAGCCGATACCACTAGTTGTAGTCTTGAAGGTCTTAGCCTCTAGAGGGCCCCTACCACTATCAACCTCAACCTATACCCTAGGTTGTTGACTATCCTAAGGCCTCGCTCATTCTTTGGTAAGTCGTTTACATGGGTCATGTTCTTTTTTATTACAATAAGTTAAATAATTGATTTTTTTATAAATTTAATTATCAATAGTGGCAATTTTGACATACAATGTTTTGACGACTTTCCTACTAAGAAATGGATATTATTTATCTACCTAACGAAAACTAATTTAATATGTGACTCACAATTACCCATACGCAAAGACATGTACCCTTCTATTTACAGAAAAACGAATGGGACTTAAGGTTGTGTTTGGTTGTTGTGCAAATTTTACTTTAACTAGGATAAATGTATAGGAGTGAAAATGAAGAAAAGAAAATTTTGATTTAACTTGTTTTGGGTTTTACTTTATTATGGGAGTGTAAATAAAAAAAAAAAAACAAATTTTGATTTAACTTTGTTTTGGGTTTTGCACTTTTACTTAATTCTGATTCGTGTTTTTACTTCATTTGTACTGCAATCAAAGAAAATAAAGCTAAAATTTGAAACAAAAAATATGTCAGAATTTACACTCAAGTCATTTGCACTGTCTTAATTTTGCATAACTACAGATTGATTTACATTGCAACCAAACACAACCTAAAGGTCTAACTGTACCGTTGTAAAATTTCAGCATCTTCTCTGAAGGTCTCTCCCTTTGCTGCCATGAAAAACTAAAAACCTCAGTTATCTCTGAAGCCTTGAAAATCTCAAGCCCTAATTGTCTGCTACCATTACTATCCCCTATTCTCCTTGCTGTTGCAGTATTGCTTGTCTATTCTTGAATAAACCAGTACTTTTGATAGATAAGTTGCTTCAACTTAAAATTCTCATTTTATAACAAGTTTAAACAATGATGTAGAAACTTTTTTTGGTAATAAAGGAAATTCATTAAACCAGAACAAAACAAGAGAGAAAACAAGCTACACCGAAACAAAAAGGAAAAACAAACAAAACAACTAACCACTAATGGGAAACTCCCTGTATAACAAATCAGAGATCACAAAAGGGATAGCACAATTGGAAAAGAAACTAGCAGAAAAAACACACTTTGCAGCTTCATGAGCTGCCCTATTCAGTGATCTTGAGCAAAACTGAAAACTGAAATTTCTTCTTCCAGCCATTTCAGCAATGTCACGACAGCAAAAAAGCAATTTCTGGATTTTCCTTCTGATTGGCTGAACAACAAGCTAGACTTCACAAGACTTTCACAGTCCGAGTCAAAATCTACATTTGTAAGGCCCAACTGATCTGCAAAATTAACAGCTTTCCACCCACAGTGCTTTTGCTTCAGCAACGAGCGGCGACGTCGACTTCACAGCTCCGTAACCAACTGCCGCCCGAAAAAACCACACTAGATTGGATGCATGAGACTCGACAGAGTCTAATAGAATGAAGGATTCAATAGCTCATTTTTCATCTGCAGCATTTTAGGCCCGGCCCAATCTGTAGCTGTAAATTAGGGGCTGTTTGGCATGTTGCCGTTTCCTGGAGCAAGGGCACCACATCAGCACCACATAAGAAAAAATGGTGCTCCAGGAAATGGACATTTGTTTAGAACTATTTTTTCATAAAAATGGTGCTCCAAGTCATGCTTCCCTAGCAATGCCAAATTTGGCGTTTCTTGGAGCTGCATCTCATTGCTGCCAACAGGGCAGTGATGTGGCACTGGATAATGGGTACTAGTGCTGAAAACGTTTCCTGAGGCAATGGTATCCAACAAAAAAAGTTGTCGTTGCTCCAGGAAACGTTATACCTAACAACAACAATTCCAAACAAAAATAAAAACACCATTTTCTAAAAAACGGTACTCCAAACCACACATTAACACTGCAGCATTGCCAAACATATACTTAAATCCCAGCCCAATTTGTGCCAACAACCCACCTGCTTCGGGCTTAGACTTGCTGCTATCGGCTATCCCATTGAGCCGCGAGTTGGGATCTCCTACCAACAAAACACGTTCCAACCCCTTCTAACCCCTACCAACATCTTACACAGCACGTCTTACCATGCGACTAGACATGTTCATGGGCCGGGTGGCTCGACGGGCCGGCCCGACCCAGCCCCCGAACGAGCTTGAACATGTTTATAGGTCCATGGGCTTAAACTCGGGCCAAAAAGCCCAGCCCGCAATAAATTCGAGTCGGGTTCGGGTTTTGTCAAAATAGCCAGGCCCGGCCCGACTTAAAATGGGTTATGTGATTATGTCCATTTGAATAAATTTTTTGATTTAAGAATGTAAAACTGTGTTTTAAAACGTAAAAGGGAAAAAAACCATCTTGTAGGCCCATTGTTCATTTAAATAGAAAAAAAAAATCATCTGAAATTTTAATTCTAATTTGAATAGGGAAAATTGTAATTTTTTTTATTAGATCGTGCTTTGGGCTCGGGCTCAAGCTTCGAGCTTTTTATTAGAGCCAGACTCGAGCCCAAGTTATAAGCCCATTGGTCGAATCGGGTTCGGGCTCGGGCTCAGGCTTCAGGCTTTTTATCAGAGTCAGACTCGAGCCCAAGTTATAGACCCATTGGTCGAACCAGGCTCGGGTTCGGGCCTAACGTATTTCCATTAATGATGAATAAAAGCCCGGCCCGAACCCGGCCCGGCCCATGAAAAGTCTACATGCGACTGAGACCCGCCATGAATGAGATATAAGATGTCAGATTGTCTTGGCAGGGGATTGAAACGTATTGTTGTTAGGAGATCCGGACCACTCTCCCATTTCCCAAGTTTCACATTTTCACTAGATCAGAGAGACGCTGTACTGTATCATCCATCACTCATCAGACATCGAGGACGGCGATTGGCAAATGGCGATTCCTCAGCGGTGCAACTGCAAGAGAACAAGATGATTACCAAAATAGTTTGGTAATTTTGGAGAGGTAGAGGGGGCATTTGTTTTACCAAAATGGTTTCCGATCCCGGAGAATATTTCGACTTTCGAGCTCTGAACTGAACTGATGGAGGAAAAATATTCGTCTAGTTTTCTGCGATCAAGATGGCTTGCATCTTAGGCTTCCCGTACCCAATCTCACCTCCCTCTCCAAAACCAGGAAAACCCCTAACCCTTACAAACTATTCCAATTTCAAGTCTTCTATTCTCTGCCACAATGCCTCACGAAGTGCGTCTCTCTCCGTACATTCGTCGGAAGACTTATCCTCACTGTCATCTCCACCCCCCGCCATTACCCCAAATCCCCAGATTTTCAGTAATGCCGTCGCCGGAGCTTCTCTCATGTCGTCCTTGTTGGTTGCTCTGATTCTGATCCTCAAATTAGGTCGTAAGCGCCAATTTACTCAGAGGTCGATCGTTCGTCACAGTAACGAATCTGTCGAGTTAGGAAATCGACCTTTCTTGCGAAGGTCAGTTTCTTCCCATCATTTCGAATCTAAAGATGCTTGTGTTGATCTTGACTTGAAGTTTGCAATTCCACCTTCCATACGAGCTTCTTGTGGTTATCCACAGCTTAATTCATCGTTCCTAGGCTCTGTAAAGTCCTTTAGTGCTTATCCATCGGTTTCCAATGTTCCTTCGCTTGGCAATGGGATGAATCCAGTACCTTTTGACAGTTCGACTCGTAGGTTCCTACTTTGCGGTGTTGAGTCAGTAAGAAATAGTAGGAAGGTTGAAGGTGAAGTCGTAGTTAATTTTAGTGCAGAACCAATCGGTTTCCTGGATGAACAAGTACAACGGTTTAGTGAAACAAATGCAAGCAGTTCCAGTCGTAAGCAAGTATTTCTGCCTATTACCTCTGTTGCACATTTGGGGATTCCCGCTTCAAGTGTGGTATCTGTTACGGTTATGAGACAATATAATGAATCAAATGCAGGCAATTCCAGTCGTAATAAACTATTTCTACCTATCATCTCTGTGCAACATTTCAATGAATCAAATGCAAGCAACTTCATTCGTAATCAATTGTTTCTACCTATCTCTATGCAACAGTTCAATGAAACAAATGCGTGCAACTCCAATCGTAATAAACTGTTTCTGCCTATTAGCTCTGCAGGCAATTCCAATTGTAGTCAACTGTTTCTGCCTGTAAACCCTGTTGTTTGTTCGGAGATTCTCGCTTCAAGCTTGATATCTGTTGAAGAGAAGGTAATTGAGTTTCGTATCTTGCTGAGTTCAGCTTTGTTCTTTGTTTCTTCTTTATAGTTTAACAATCAAGTAGCAAGAGGTGTTCCATAAAGGTGAGAAGTTGACTGGAAATAATACCCAATCAGTGCCTCAATGATCTACTTTATGGGGAAGAGTTGTAGACTATAGTTTGGCGTCACTTTGGTGTTTTGGACTTAAGTTACATTTAACAAGGTAGAAACAGCAATACAACTTAACAAGATTGCCTTCATTTCTATTTACTTGAATACTCATTGGATTTGAGGCAGAGTTCCTTCTTTTGTTGCTTTTGTGTAATATTTGGAAACCTTGTTGTCTGCAGAACTATGTGTGTTTGTATTTGGAAACCATCATCAAGCTTTTAGAAGTTTACCCCTGTATGTTTGAACTGACGTTTCATATTCTGGTTCAGGAGAAACTTTCTTATAAAACAGAATTCCAATCAGCTATTCCGCTAATTGTTGTGTGGGCAGGAGCTTTTGGGTTACTTACAACAGGAGGTATAGGCTGTAGATTGTTTCCCTTAATCTACTTTCTTAAGGCTCAGTTTGGAAGGAGTACAAATGCAACTATCTAGAATGCAAAACCTTATATTTGTATGTATTTGTACTGTACATATTTGTATTTTGTACTCTTTCCAAACTAAGCCTAAAGGACTTTATCCATACTCTTTGCTAAGTCCATGTTATCTGACCCATTTTTGTCACTAAAATGCCTCAGTGGATGGGGGATTGGAATTGATTGGTTTTATTGCTGCCACTAGCTTTTTCCTTTATGATATTCTCTGGGCTTCAAAAAGGTAATTTCTTGTACTCTATATTAAGGATCTAAGAACAGTTAAGACATATCTAGCTTCATTTGGCAGGAAAATGTTTGACCCACTACTTTTTTTCTTGTCTAATTGTGTGTTTCCTGGTTATTCATGCTTTTTGCAATGAAACAGAAAGCTGTTATGGGAAGACCTCATACAAATCACTGATCGTGAAAAACTTATGTGCTTCTTGAAGTCTAGAAACATTATAATGAGAGGCTAATGATTTCACCAGGCCACCGTACTTGACATGTAAATTGATATCTCTCTTACTTTGAACAATGTACAGTATTTCTTGCTGTTGTAAACAAATCATACTTTATGTTGCGTGTATATGTTTCTGTTATAAAATTAATTCCACAAACATACAGTTTTTTATGCTTGCTTTTTATTTACTAGCTTAGGTAGAGAGCTTCTTTATATGCTAAACTGGAAGAAGAAACAGTAAATCATGTTTATTTGAAAACTAGAAAGTAATGTCAAGGTAATAGCAGCTTACAAGTTATGGTGCTACACATAGTTCTGCTTATCTGTAAGATATAAATTTCAACCTCAGTCCCTTTTTCTTTTGGTATTGCATATTACACAATACAGGGGAATCAAGGGCTGGGGACAGATGTTGGGTTTCTGCCCAACACAGACACTGATTCGAGATAGTGTGATCCCCTAGAGAAGAAATGAGAGAGGGAAGAGAGAACAAAGAGATTTCTGGGTTGAATCTAGGTAGCTTTCTTATTGCTTTGCCTTTTATTTATAGATGTACAAGTTGGTATTTGTAAACTCAAGAATTCAATAATCAAGATTGTCACTTGTCTCTTGTACAGCTAGAGCTAGATCTTGCATAGCTGGTTTTAACCCATGTGCCCTTTTCCTTGAGTACACTTGTTTGATAACTGGTTTACTGGCTTGGTCTTGGTTTCTAACAATTCCTTCCCCCTCTTAAGCAGCCTCGTCCTCGAGGATGAGGTGAGGAAACTGTTATGAGTATTGAGAAGGCCTTCCATGTTGCATCCTCTGGAGGCAGTCCTTGCCATTCGACTAAAGCTTCCCATACCAGTTTCTGATGCTGTTTGATCCAGTGATAAGCCCAGATATGCTTTTGGTTGCAAAATGGTGTCTCCATCCTCATCAAATTCTGGTGGAGCCGGGGCAATGCAATCTGAAGTACCTACATGTTTTTTCAATTTTGATACATGAAAAACAGGGTGTAGACGACAGGATTGGGGTAGAGATAATGTATACGCAACTGCTCCAACACGTTTAGTGATGGGAAATGGTCCATAGTATCTTGGAGATAACTTGTGCCAGGTTTTTCGCCCCAGTGAAGCTTGTCGATAAGGAAGAAACTTCAAATAAACCAAATCACCTATGTTGTATTCATCCTGATGGTGGTGTTTATCATATTGGGCCTTCATTTGTTGTTGAGCCCATGTCAAATTTATTTTGAGCTCCTTGAGAATGTTATCTCTATCTGATAGGTGATTGTCAACCACCGCTACCGAGGTGGATCCGTCTCCATAGGGAAGAATGGGGGTAGTTCACGCCAATAAAGTGCCTTAAATGGCATGATGGCATCATACCCATGGAGACGTGGAATGTGGAGTTGTACCACATTTCTGCCCAAGGTAGCAATTGGACCCATTCGTGTGGATTGTCACTGACAAAACACCTCAAATATGCTTTTAAACATTTGTTAATAGCCTCCTTTTGTCCATCCGTCTGTGGGTGGTAACATGTAGACCTGTTGAGGGTGGAGTGAAATACTCACGCTAGAAATTGCTTAAGAATGTTGGATCACAATCCGATAAGATGGATTTAGGTGTGCCATGTAAACGTGTGATTTCCCTGACGAACACAATTGCTACCGTTGCAGCACTATAGGGATGCAACAATGGTATAAAATGGACATATTTTGATAATCGGTCAACCACCACTAGTATGATGGGAGTATCCCTTAGACTTGGGCAGACCCCCAATGAAGTCAAGAGGCATTTCTTCCCATACTAAATCCGATATTTTTAGTGGCTGGAGAAGATCAGCTGGTGATTGCGACTCGTATTTCTAGAGTTGGCACGTTGGGCACACTGCTACAAATTCCGTAATGATGCGCTTCATGCCTACTACCCAAAAATAGTGTGATGCAATGCGGCGGTATGTCCATAAAATGCCTGAGTGTCCTCCCTCCTTCTTGTGACCTGTGGTACAATTGCAATAACTAAGGCAAGTGTACAAAAGAATTGGGCCTTGCATTGAGTAACCTGGTACTATTGCTGGGTTTTGGGCCCATTTAGATTGAATTGCTTGCAGTTCGGGGTCTTCTTAGGCTTCTTGTTTGAGAATGTCAAGTAGTGGGTATTGCGGTTTTGACACTGTTATAATGGAGAGTTCTTGTTTGCGAGATAAGGTATTTGCTGCTCTATTGGATGTGCCTGCCTTATACTTGATCATGTAATCCAATCCCATGAGTTTTTAGGCCCATTGAGTTGAGCTTCCGTATGGACTTGTTGTTCTAGCAAGTGTTTCAAACTTTGCTGGTATGTTCTTATGATGAACTTACGACCCATTAGGTATGCTCTCCATTTTTGGACTGTAAGAACAATTGCCATCAATTATTTTTCGTATGTGGATTTGCATAATGACTATCCACTGAGGGCTTTGCTGAAATAGGCTATTGGCTGGCCCTCTTGCATTAGAACGGCTCCTAGGCCTCTTCTGAAAGCATCACATTCAACAATAAAGGTTTTATTTAAATCTGGTAAAGCAAGTGTTGGTGGGCTGGATAGAGCTTGCTTAAGTAGATTCGATGCAGCTTGGGCTGTGTCATTCCTTACAAAGGAGTCCTTGCGCAAGAGCTGGGTTAATGGGCCTACCATCTGCCCATATCCCTTTATGAATCTCCTATATACCCCGAGAGGCCCAAAACCCCCTTAGGCTCTTGAGAGATGTGGGATGGGGCCATGATTTGATGGTGACTACCTTCTTCGGGTCAGATTAAACCACCACATGGCCCAAATAATGAATCCAGGTTTTGCCAAAATCACAATTTAGATTTTTTTTTGCAAACAGTTGGTGATGACGTAATGTTTCTAATGTGATTTTAAGATGGTCCAAATGAGCAGCCCAGTCTGTGCTATATACAAGAATATCATTAAAAAACACAAGTATAAAATGACGAAGCTATGGACGAAATGCCTCATTCATGAGTGACTTAAGCATCCACAACGCATTTGTGAGTCCAAATGGCATCACTAAGAACTTGTAATGGTCGTCGTGTGTTCTAAATGCCGTCTTGTGGACATCATCCGGGTGGACCCTTACTTGATAATAATCAGATCTTAAATCCATTTTGGATAAGATCGTGGCTGACCTGAGTTCGTCCAAGAGTTGTTCGATCAGTGGTATTGAAAACCTATCCTTTACAGTAATCTTGTTTAATGCCTGGTAATAAATGCAGAATCGCCAAGTATCGTCTATTTTCTTGACAAGCAGCACTGCTGATGAATAGGGACTTGAGCTGGGTTGTATGTGTTGCTTATTCAGCTACAATCCTCTCTATTTCTTTTTTTTTTTTTTTTTTTGAGAGTTTAGATACATGTATTTGCTGGTGGGGCACCCGGTGCGATTGGGATTTTGTGATCACTTTGTCTGGGTTATTTGAATACATCCTCAAAGTTTTCCAAGAGTTGTTGGAGTTCCATGGATATTTCTAGTTCTGGTTGTCCCGAATTCAATTCTGTTAGCTTGGGATTGTCTGGGCCTAGGCCCATATTCATCAAAAGGTGGTGTCCTTGCTGTCCGCAACACTTAATCATGGATTGGAGGTTTTGATTTTGGGTTGTCACAAGCCTTACACCTTGGAGATGGCAATCCACGCCATCTACAAAGAAGTCCATTGTCATGCGGCCCCAATCACATACCACTGGACCAAGCTGTGTGAGCCAGTGGACGCTGAGCACAATGTCTGCTCCTAACAACTGAAGAGGGTGTAGGTCAGTCAGAAGAAGATAACCTTGTACTTTCATGATGACATTTTTGCATAGACCCGAGTTGGGTCTAATACACAGTTAGGCCTAATTCCTTGGATAAAATTTCAGAAATGAAATTTAATGTGCTACCACTATCTATTAGAACAGATACGGGTTTACCGAACACTGGACCTTCAATCCTCATTGTTCTTAGGGAGCTGGAACTGCTCAGGGCATGTAGAGAGATCTTCGGTGAGTCTTGGCTGTTCTCCACCAGGCTGTTAGAGTCTGTCAAATTTTCTAGTTCTTCTGGTTCATCAGTTTGGAGTAGATAGGCCTTCTGAATCTTGCATTTGTGTCCTGAGCCGAACTTCTCTTTGCAATTGTAGCAGAGGCTGTGCTCCCGATGGTTCTGCATCTCAGTCCAAGAAAGCTTTTTGTAAGAGACTAATGCTTGTGAGTTATGTTCTGGAGCTAGGGATATTATGGGCCTGGATTGAATTGGTTCAATTCTGGGTGGGTTCATGATGAGAGGAGCGGACTGTGGAGGTCGCCCAATCTTTTTCCACTGGTTTAATTTTTCTTCTTGTAGTCTTGCAAGTCCCACGACAGCCATAACAGAGGAGGGCTGCATGCTCTTCACTTTGACTTTGATGTCGTCACGCAAGCCACCAATGAAGCCTCCAAGGAGTGCAATTTCCGGCCACCCCTGTACACGATCTGTCAGCTTCTTAATCTCCTGTTGGTACTTTTGGACAATACCCCTTTGGCATATTTTGGACAGGGCTTTGTCGTGATTTTCGAACCCTGTTGGTCAAAATCTTATGCACAGAGCCCCAATGAAGTTTGCCCAGGGAACTTGAGGGTGAGAACGCTAAAACCGTTGGAACTAGACAACGGCTTCACCTTCTAAATGGAACGAAGCAACCAGAACGTGTTAGTTGTTGGGTGTCTCGTGGAATTCAAAGTAACGTTCAGCCTTAAAAATCCATGGGATTGGATCATCGCTTGAGTACCTTGGGAAGTCAAACTTTCTAGGTCGAGTGTTGATCTGTCTATGTTCTTGACCAATTACTTCCTAATCACCTTCCAGGTTGCTGTTAGTAGCACCCCTCCCGATCTGAGTCAGTATGGCATTCAGTGACTCCTGGATGTTTTGAAGGTCAGTGGTGACCTTGTGCATAGAGTTGGATCGTGTGCTTGGCACAAGGTTTAAAATTTCAATACAATATGCCTGATACGGGGTGTACTGTATCGTATCTTCAAAAAACAGATATGGGATACACATGGAAATCAGACGTCTCATCTTTTTTTCATGTGTATCGGACCGTATCGGGGCATATCGAGACGTATCAAGGCTTATCGGTAGCATATTGACGAAAAAGATATGACAAAAAACTGAAAAAATAAAGGGGAAAAACAAGCTTCTTTCACCCCCAAATGATTCTAAAACTACAAACTTCATTCTTAGAGTTCTAGATTTGCAAAAAATTGCAAGAAACAAGTGTGAATTGTTAATTTTTTTGAAAATTTTTCAAATTTTGAAAAAATATGGAAAAAACATGTAAGTTTTTTCAATTTTTTATAATATCTTGTAATTTCTTTTTTCTTGAATGTTTAAATTTATGTTGATATATATTTCTTACATTCAAAACCATATTTTTTTTGTGTTATTAATAAATTTATGGAAATTTCATGAAGATATTTGGGGAAAATATGAATTAATAAAAATTTGAAAATGTAACTTTTCTCTACCTATAAAGACTAAATATGTTTTAGAACTAAGGATTTATCTACCATATCTATAGAGCAATTGAAATTTCTTATTTAGTATTTTTTTATTTTTATATTTTTAGAATTAAAAAATAAATAATAATTAATTATATTTTATCATTTGATCACAACAATTGAATATATTATAATTCTATAGATGATCTATCATATCCACAAACCAATTGAAATTTCATATTTAATAATTATTTTTTTTTATTTTTACATTTTTAGAATTAAAAATAAATAATAATTAATTATATTTTATCATTTGATCACAATGATTGAATATATTATAATTCTATGGATGATCTATCATATCCACAAAGCAATTGAAATTTCTTCTTTAATAACTATTTTTTGAACATATTATATAATGTTTATTTATTTTTTATAACTTTTGGAAATAAACAATAAATAATTATTGATTATATTTTCACTTAGAAGTTGTGCCAATGCATGTTTTATGGTTAGGAGAGTTGGGTTTTTCTCATCCCATAAAACATTAAAACTTAAGAATTATAATGTATAAATTATAGTTAAGCATAAGATTTTTAATGAAATTATAATTTACTACAATATATTTCTTCATAAAACCATTAAAATATATTAATTTAATGTATATACACCTCATTAAGATCTTAT